GTACACACAGCACGTCGCGCGGCCGCCGACTATAGTCGGTGTCCGTAGCGAAAGGGTTAATATCTTTATTTTATTTAGAATCGACAATTTTATTTATATTAATTGTCATAGCCGCATTTCATAATATAATATTTCTACACTTGTATTTTTTGTCTGATTCTAGGCTGGTTCTTCAGCGTGCGCGACGCCGATCCCGAGTACGACGATATCTACTTTTGGATGTCACCAACCTGGATCACCCTGATGTTCGCTTCTTATAATTTGGGCCTCGGTCCCATCTCTTGGTCCATCTTGGGCGATACCCTGCCGGAGGAATTGAAGAATCTGGTTGCCTCGGCCGCGGTTGCCCTCGGATGGCTCGTTTCATTATTAGCATCATTGTCATTCGAGGAAATGGTAGTCATGCTCGGAGCCACAAAAGTCATGTGGGGCTCAGCAGCTATTTGTTGGCTGATAGCCTTGTTTTGTGCCATCGTAGTCAAAGACAACACAGGCAAAAGCCTATTGGAGATCCAGAAGGAGTTCCGCATTGAAGCTGATACGGTTGTAGAAACCTGATTACTCTGTTAGCCGAATTCGAACTACAATTAGACATTCCTACAATGGAATCTCGTTTTTCCAGCCTTTAATCAGACAGCCAGTCTTCGTTTATTAAATTCCCTCAGGGAAATAGAGTGGTAAATCCTATTCTCCGTTTTTTCATAGTTTAAAACGCGTGAGAAAGGATTCCTGATTAGTTTGCTAACTTTATTTGGTAGATCACCGTGTGCACAACGATTGTTGATAGTCAACAAACTGCGAGGAAGCAACTCTGTTTGAGTTGGCCTCATCCGTCTGCTTTTTCAACCTTCGCTCCGTCTTGATTGCCAGCTACCTAATTTAATGCAATGATTGTTCTTTAGCGAAAATCGCTGAGATAGATTCTTTGACTAATTTAAGAATGATCTCAAAATTATTATCGAAAACCGACTAAAATATGAAATAAATATAAACTATTTTATTTTGTTCCATAACGTATAACGATTATTTTCGAAACGAATTATCAACTATGTGTTACTATATCAAGAATGAGAAATGTATACGATCCATAAATTCAAAGAATGTCTATGATTTATATATGTATTTACGTTGTGGTGTCCAAATTAAATGGCGTGTCAGCCTTCTGGTCGCGATATTCTCGATCCCTGGTCACGAGCCTGTCTCCGATTGCACGTCAAGGTCTGTAGATGGGTTAACGAGAACACTTCATCGAACTCCGTATTGAAATGACGCGAGTTCGTTGGCTATTGTCCAAAAAGACGCCAACCAGATTTTGTACTTGCCTTTAACTGTGTACATGCGTGCTTTTGATTGATATATCGCGAACAGATGCAACGAATCTTTTGACAAAAATAACACGAGGAGAAACAAGTCAATTAAATTGGGTGTCTTATGATATTTCCTTGTGCAGCAACTTAGTGATAGCGCTAGAACTGTCGTTGGATGAGAATTACGAAGGCTGCAGATGATTCACTGCTATTTCTCATAAAATGTCTGTAAATAGTTGAATGTATAAAGTGACTTACAAGTTTGTTAATATTGGTTCATGTTTACTAAATGTATTCGTATTAAAAATACATTTTATACGTACATTAAAAAACTGTTGAAAAATTCGCTACCTTTCCTAAGATTTCATTTTACCTGCTTAATGACCAAATTTTATAGGTGTTGACACTGTGCCACGGTACCAAGGCGTTTTAACCCATTAAATTACGAAAGTTTCCTCATAACATTAATGCCCAGAGAGCGATCATTGCGTCCACCTGAGAATTAGTAGTCGCTTACTACGAGGGACATACAACCTACCGCAGTATCAAATTTTCACTGGCCTTGTTATCTACATTCGTTATGCTTTCCGTAGAAATATAAACGACAATTAATATTTGTTGGGCGTAAAGATATTTTTTCTCTTCACTCAGAAATTAAATTCAATGGTTGATTAAGTATCTGTTTCCTACCAGTAATAGTAGATACGTTCTAAGCATTGTGAGAAACTCGGAGTAACAATGAAATCGACTAACTATTATTTCCAGGCAAATTAACTCTTTTGCATAGACCACCATCTTGAAACGTGGGAGGAGAGAAAAAGGAAGGTATTACCGCGTTGCGAACTTTGTGCGCGGTGGCTGTCGATAATGCTCTATTCTGGAATCTTTCGCTTCATTTTTCCACCTCGCATGCTGCGCACAATCCATTTTTATGTGAATCGTGAAAGGAAACAAAGGATTCTACGAATTCTATGAATTCCCGAGAAAAATCTTTTGTTAACTACAATACTTCGCAGTCGACAATATTTAATAAAGGAAATAACCAACGTTCTCGAGTTCAACACGATGGTCGAGTAACAAATTTTTTTCCCATTTCGTTTTTCATTTCAATTTCGTGTTCCCCTTTTTGAAATAGGACCGAAATTGTTCTGTTCCATTTTTTTCTCCCGTTCAATAAAACGAATTTTCATCGAACTCAAGTGAATAATTAACGTGAAATAAATTTAATTGCGCTTAATTAGGGCGGACTTAACATCGATTAAACATCGTTATTTGATATCAATCTTCGGGCAAGTAAACACGCAGCGATTGAGGGTCGTAATTACTCGCAAGAATTTATCCATTTCCGTTAGATGCCCGGCTCGATACGATGGTTGATAAACCTTCGCTATACCCTATGATGCACTTCAATAAAGAGTAAATGGATCAATTAAAATTTAATTGTAAATAAGAATAGCAAATAAATAGAATAATAAATATATGCAACCGAAGAATGCGATTATTTTTAACAGAAAGAATGCATATTAAATTTTCCAGATCTCCACTGATACCTTCCATCTGATGAAAAATCTCCTTGAACAAGCAATTGCAATTTAGTATCGCAATCTATTCACAGAATCTGCCACTCGGTCTTTGTTACACGTTCCACTCAGCTACCCTTTTCCCAGTTAGCGAAACGGGATGAAATAAGAACCACACCACCGCCAGCATCGTGCAAAGAAGAACAAACAACGATAAAACATACAAGGGGAGCAGTTGAATAACGGATCGGCCAGCGAGAAAAAATTCGCAGCACGTCGGATTCCGTGGATACGATAAATTCATGAGCTTTCCAGAAGAGGGTAAATGACGAGGCGTGCTGACAGCAGCGTGACGTTCTCGCTCGGCTGGAATCGTTTGCAGTCGCGTGCACGGTGCCCCGTACCCCGGGTCCGACTGATAAATTAATTCTTGCCTTTCGAACACACGCCAACGAGCCTCTGTATCGATTCGAACCACCCTCCTGTAGGAAGCCGTTCAACAAACTACACTTTAGACGTTGTTCCTTTGTTTGATGAGGTAAAGGATTATTTGGATTAGCCAAGATTCGAGATCGTTCAGAAATCAAGTTCGTATTCATTACTATAGTACAATCGCTGTCATTAATTGTAAGAATTGAGCAACATTAATAATATTTTATACGTTTATTATAATACAACGAATTCGTAGAATTCTTGCAGTCATAAAATTACAGATTGTCGCTAGCCCTCCATTGATTGAAAATATTTCACGTATTTATTACAATAAATTCGCATCAATAGAGTAATTACTCTTGCGGGGATGAAATTACAAATTTTCACCAATTAAACGGTTGACTGGCTCTAGAAACACTTAATCTCCTCTATCATGTATACTGGCCTGAAAGGGTTAACTTTCGCGTCACGCGTCAACCGTGGCTAGTCACGGCGTTTAACATACAGGCATGCAGGTTTGAGGGTTTGAAGGAGAGAGCAGTTTCCTCCGTCGGAGGCTAGGGTTCGTCGCGAATATTTCGCACGGCCGGCTCGTTTATCAATTACAGGACTGGGTGCCATGCCGTGGCACAGTTGGGTCAAGTTGACGAAACGTTTGTTCGAGCAGAGTTGCTCGTAACCGGCACCTGCGCCAGTGTGAATAATACAAAGGTCTGTTTAAAGCCGCGTCTACGTGAGAAGTGATATGAATAAAATCGTGGACACTCGCGTTCCTCTTGTTATGTTAATGCTCTTGAATGTAAAGATTTTCATGTAACTTTATTCATTTTATTTTCTGGTAAATAAACTTCAACTTTCATACTCTTCTTCGATGTTCATGTTCAACGTTGATAGAAAACTAAAGGAACATTGTAATCTTCATTTTTATTAGTACTCGTACATTTTAACTTTCAACCATGTACGTTTAAAGGAGATAGGATAAGTTCCATAAATCTTGTGCGAGGTTTATCGATAAAATTATCTGTACGATAGATCTAGACACCTCAACTTGCAAACCATATTTCATTCACCAAGACAGGTCTAGTAGTATCGGCATATGGACGTTGATAGAGAAGCTCAAGTTAGGTATTTACGAGCATGTAAATCTTTTCCTTGAATAAACGGATCAAGTCTTCCGCAACTTTTAGAACGTTGGTTCAGAACAAAATAAACAGCGACAAAATGTTTAAAACTAGATACCTCTAGGATTTAGATTTATATTTAATTATAACAAAAATTCTCTCGAAAATACGATTATAATAAAAAGTGCGAACGATATTGCGACTTCATCCTATCACTTCGGTTCCCATTCAAACAATGAACTTTATCTGAAAGTCACCTGATTATCCATAATCACTACTTATCCCGTTACCAGTAAATCCCCTAACATTCCGGTTTCCTAAGGCACCTCCGGTGCGCTCGTCGATGTATCAATATCTACATCTACCCCCACGAACCGGTAATTTCCATGAAACTTTGATTATCCGTGGCATCATTTTCCATTAGCCGGTCTTAAAGAGAGAAACACGTTCCGCAAATTGCGAAGCTTGACTTTCTCTCGCTTGGTTGTTCGATTAATAAGAAAAGAAAAACGAATATTGAATCAAATAATTCCAATGGTAGTTTGATGAAAAATGTAGAACTTTTAAATCCAAGATCACATCAGGTACAAATTTGAAATTCCTTAGTCTGCAGATTATTATTAACGAGGCTGAACGACGTATCGATCACTGTTTTAGTACTTCATCTTCGAAGAAACAAAGGTCGCACTCTTTTTTTTGTTTTCTCAATAAACAAGACCGTGTGCAGAGATTGGAAAACGTCAAAGTATAACTGGCCTGCTCTCGTATCGCTTTTTCAATCTCTGTTCTGTGTCGAGGCCTCAATGGATAGAGGAACTTCTATCCCACCCTCCAACCATCACGCCGACCTCCTCCATGTCCGATATCCTCTCGCGATGTAAAATGAATGACGCCACAAACAAAGAAGTCACTTCGAGTGGAATTGATACCGTACGTACACGATTCCGATTACTGTTGTTTCCATCCGGAGTAGAGAGAGACGTGGAAAAATATTCGCATCTCGTACGTTTTTCCAAATAAGCATCCAGTTGTAGGAATAAGATCTTAACTAATTAAATGATTACATAAAAACATAGTGTGCTTTAAGATTCGCGGCTGACAGGGTAAACCTAAACAACATTTACCGCGATATTCTATCCAGCGGTCAGATCAGAGCGATTTCTCGTATTTCTCTCGCTATTAGTGCGATTATCGATCGTCATTTTGACGAGGATACCAATTTCCAGCATGTCAGCCGGACAAAGAGTCAGTCATTGAAACTAATTTCCTGTCACTGATCGATCGAATTCGACTAATTAGTACCACGTGTAGCCCGAAACGAAAGTCTAAACTAAAAAAAATAGGAAGACAAATTTTTACATGTAATTTTCAAAGAGTTTTTTTTTATGGGATTTATCAATGTAGTGAAATTAAGTTAGAATTATTATCTGTTCTTATTTAATGTAACGATTGTCAATTTTTTTACATACAATGTGTGTCATGATGTTCGTTCACAGAAGGAACTCGTTTTCGTGCCCACTTACGATGCAGACTATACCGGTGGGCAGACACGTAACCGAATCGAAATTAGGTTTCGCCGGAGCTTTTATTCAAGAACGGGCCGAGCTTAGATATCGCGTGTGTCACGTGACTGTTCATCGTAAAGGAAGTTCGGCCGGTCGCGGAACTTTCTGATTTATCGAGCCGAAAATCTATTTAGTTCTCTGTCTGTTTGGCAAACTTTTAATTGCATCGTCCATTTTATCCACTGACGGGCCACACGTGAACGGTGCTAAACCGGGTAGCAAAACGTTGTTGCTTTAATCTGTCAAAGTTAATTGAATAGCATTGAATGCTCGTATCTAGTACCTATTTTTATCAGAAGCAAATTGCATTAGGTAATCGGGGCATTAAAACTATAGGTACGAGATATTAATAGATTTTCAATTACTATCTTAGTTATAAGTTACATTAAAAGTTTACTTCAAAAGAAAATACTTTACACACCATTCGAAGGGGAAACAGTCCATCTTTTTGCGCATAGAAACATAATCTTCAACCCGCACAACGAATCTCACTTTATCTTTTCTCCACTGATACTTGTCCCCGATCTCGATAAGCATAATCTTCTTCGAAAAAGTCAACCCGAACGATATTTCAAAGTTTTTTCAACCTAAACCTGTCCCATTCAGTTCAATACGGATCAGTTAGCAAAAACAATAAAAAAAGAACAATAGAGTGATGGGTGTATTCGATGGACTGATTGATGGGGATTGTCCCAGCGTGATTCTAAACGCATTCGCCAAACTCGCGCGACATGACAATGACGTACAACGGTGGTTGCACTTTGGGTAAAGACCGCAACACACCGTTTCACGCCGTGTCGTTCCCGTGAGAAACGCGCACTCGCTTCTCGCGCCCTGTGTCCCAGTTCCCACGAAGAGAGCCTCGCTCTGACCCCAGAATTTCTACTCCCAGAGCTCCGGCAGCAAGGAAAAAACAAAGGATCGAACGACGAGGCTCCATTGTGCATTTGTAACGACCTCAAGCTTGAAGTGTGGGCGGCTTAATGGAAAGTCTCGTTTGAGGATTTATGATAAGACAGGGGTTCGTTTCTTAGGGTGACATCTGATAAGTTAGACAAGGTTCAAGATATTAATCTCTGTGAGTGTAATATTCTCAAAAATTTCAGTCCAGTGTTTTTACTGAGAGAAATGGTTCATTTTTATAAATCAATTAATTGTATTAAAGTATAAATATTTTCTGTTATGGACATTTAAAAAAATATTATTTTTAAAAAATCTATTATAATCCAGAATAAATTATTATAATTAAAAATTAACAAACGCAAATCATCAGATAAAACTTTTTCGATTTCTACAAGATCCTATTGGAATATTACATTGATTTTTTGTCTTACAATTACACTTTTACGAACAGAAACCATCAAATAAGACTTATTCAAGGTATTACATTCTACCATGACACTACCTTGATTTTCTGTCACAAGGCAGGATACTTGGATCTTATTATGTTGATTTTTCACGTTCAGTCAAGCCGTAGTGTATAACTAATACACTTACTTATTATAATCCTTGCAAATGATCAGATCTGCCACTCACATTTCGAATTCTTCTTACGTTTCCATTTGTGAGGATCGAGCGAGCATCTCCCATGCAAATATTTCCGATCAATCACTCCAGACGCGCCTCCACAAAGACAACAGACGATACGCGTCGCCCCTTTTTAGCGCACCCGGTTGGCTCTACTGAATACGTTTCTCCTCCAGTAGCACCAGGACGCGGCCTTTGAAGCTGTTTTATTCCTCTTTCTTTCTAATCCCCCGAGTTTCCGTGACGGAAAGCAGACGTGGAATTACGCTTTGCAAATGCACACAGTGTAAAGTATTTGTCGATATATGTCCATAACTTATACGTTAAA